ATATATGTATGAAAAAGATGCTTGATTTAATGAGATGTATGAGCCTGTACTTGTTGAGCTATGATTTGCTCATTCATTTTTTCCTTTCTTTATACAAATGATTAAATGATAAGTTGCTTGTCTTACGAGGAGTTAGAAGAATGAATTAATAAGGGTGTCTAGGCATTGGAGATATTATTTAGTGAATAAGATGTTATGAAATAATGATTTTTTAAGTTGTATTAGTTTACATTGAATTCTTGGCGATTTGCTATTTAGTTGGATTTTAGATATGAAATTTACATGAGGATATCATTTTAGTTAAAAACCTTTCAATGATTATAGAAGAAGGTTTCGTGTTACTTTGGGATTTTATTTCAAAGTAATATAATAGTATCATGTCTCAGTCTTAGAATGTGATAAAAAGTGGTATCAAAGATCAGGTTGTGATCCTTAGAGATTTTCTAAGAGTTTAGAATAGGATCAATAAATTATGTGGGGATTTTTTAAAGCTTACATTATGATCTTTATATTATGTAGAGATGTTTAAAAGTTTATATTATGATTTTGAAAATTGTCTAAGAACTTAGGTTATCATTGTTTGAGGTTTCTTAACAGTTTAGTTTATGATAACTAGATTAATATTGATTTTTAAAAATGTAAGTTATAATTATTGTATTAAAAGAGACATTTTAGGGGGATGATTATAATCCATATACTATGTAAAAATTTTTAAGAACTTAAATGATAATATTTGGATTGTATGATGATTTTCTAAAAGCTTAAGTTTGATCTATAGACTATAACATTGAGTATAAGTAAATGATTTGATAAATTTTTAACTAATTAATGATTCAATAAATTTTTTAGAAATCAGCATTTGACAAATTTTTAGAGTAACTATTTTGATTGATATTTACATATTACTTTTGAATTTTGTAGTTAAAAGAAAATCTTTATACTTTTACATAGTGTAATGTTTTGAGTTGAACGGATTTTTTATTCAACTTATAACAAGATATGTCTTATAAGCTAAAAAAATTATCAAAGAGAATGAGTTGACTAGTGAAAGTTCTATAGGTTGAGAAAAATTGTTTGATTTAACTAGGTTTTGAAGTTATTTGATGAATGTTACACGAACCTCTAATCACTAGTTAAGCTTGGATTATGATTGTATATTATTTTAATTAAAGTATGGAATATTGTAGTTAAAATGAAATGATATTTTGAAAATTTGAAGTAACTAGTTATTGATTTTAATGTTTGAGAATTTATCTTAATGGATTTAGTTCGAAATATTATAACTGTGATAAATAGCTTTATATTTATAAAAAAAAGAGGATATTCATTTGATTGGTATGTTCTATATTTTTATTAAGAAAGTATTTAAGGTTAATCACATGAGCTATAAGTTTGTGTAATTAATTTGACGTTTGATAATTAAATTTCCATTTGGAGTGTAAAGAATTTTCTTAGTAGGCAAAGTGATTAATTTGTTGTTATAGTTTAAAGTACAATATTGGATATCTTGAAATTTTATATTTATAGAGAACATAGCCTATTGTGGTACAAGGCATGTTTTGTTCTATATGTTACTATTTTTTGGATAAGAATTAAAGTTGCGGTTATTTAATGATTAACTAACAAGGAAGTTGGTTTTGAGGAATAATTAACTTACAAAATTATAAATATTTGTCAAGTATGATTTTTGTATTATTATAGGTAAAAAAGATGATCATATTGTTATTAGATTTTAATAATTGATCAATAAATGGTTTTGTGTACTTGATGATCTTTGAGTAAGGATTAAATTTTAAAGAATCAAGAAAATTTATGTGATTGATATATTTGGCTATTGATTATGATTGTACTCTTGAAATAAATTCAAATATTTTGAGTTTTTGTTGGTTGAAATTTCTTATAGAAGTATTTTACTTATGATATATAGGTTTTGACTTTGACTTAGAGTTGGGAATAATATATTTGGTAAAAAAGATAATCTTAGACCTTATGATATTCATGATAATTTTAAAAAATTAATTGTTATATGACAATTGATCTAGGAAATTCAAAAGAAAAATATTTGAATTTAAAGGCAATTAGGGTAACCAAAGATCTATAATTGAACTTATACAATGTAAATTTATGAACATAATATATTGGATTGATTTCATATATATTGTGATGGTTTATTAATAGAAAATTTCATATTATCAGTGAAGAAGAAAATAAAACAGAAGTAGTACGTGATATCTTTTTGGTGACTAAAGATTTGTTAATATTGTTAGTCAACTTTAAGGTTGTATATAGGTATGGATACTTGACGTGAAGCAAATTACATGAACACTTCAATGACATATATTTTTCTTGTTATAAAACAATGTTATAAAAGTTAATTTTGTTATTTTAGATTTTACTAGAAGGAAATATCATAGTTTGTAGTTGAAGCTTGAATTGGTTTAAGTTATGAGAATTTTGAATCTATTGCTAATTGTGAAAGTCATGAATCATTATTAAATGCAAACTAATCGATTTCTTATAAATGGTATAAAGATATGGATTTTGATATTTCATAGATTTGAGAACTATGTTAAGATATGTGTTTTACTTATTTCAAAGTATGTAGAATTCATAAGAAATTTTATTTATGTGATCATACTTGACTCTAGAATAAGAACCCCAGAAAAGATTAGTGAATATCCCAATTCATAATATTCCTTCTAGTTTTGGAGACTTTATCTTTGATAGACATTCTTCTAGTAGTGCTTGTGTTATGAATTGTACAACTTATGATGGTAGTAGCATACACCTATGGAAATCTTATGAAAGGTATTAACCCACCCATGGATTCAAGTTAGTAATGATAATTTTAACTTTGAGATTTGAAGATATTAGCTGTGTTGGGAAAATATTTTAAATTGTACATTGACCATCATATTCAAAGTATATCCTTACTAAAAAGTAAGGAAATGTGTGGAAAATATGTGATTAAAAATCATTGAAAGACTATGGTTGGTTATTAACTATCATTTAGAAACGTTATTGTTGTTGCAAGTACAAAAAATTTATAAGTAATTTAACAACTTTGATCACTATACAAAAATTTTTATATTTTGGAGAATTTCATGAAATCAATTTAAGGGTAATTAACCATGAGCAAAGTGACTACTCAATAAACTTTTAAGTTCTACTTTGATTGAAAGGATTAAGTAGTCATAAGGTCATGATAATAAATTTAGTAGAATAAGGGAACAAAAAAGGCTTTTGTACTCTTAATGATGAAATTTTGAGATTTAAAAGTAGATGTAGAGATGATCACCTATTTACTGAGATGAGGTTAAAGAAAGTGAATTTTTTAAGTCTTGAAATTGTATAAAAAAACTGGGAACAAAAATTCTATTGATTAAATAGCAACTTTGTATGACATAAAGTAGGTAAAAGTATTATGTTAAAAATCGAAGATAACATTTGTAGCTTCAAGTGAGTAATCACATGTATTTATATGTGTCACCTATTTAAAATGTTATGAGGATTAAGAAGCAAGGTAGATTAACTCCATGTAAAGACATTTAAAGTTCATTGTAAAGTGAAAGAAGTTCAATATAAAAAATCTTGCAACCTTATATATATAGTTTACATGATATGTTACAATATCTATGTTAAGAGAGTATGTTCCTAACCCAGTCTATGTGGTTAAATATGAGTAGTTAGAAATTCTAGAATAATATAAGCTTTAACATATTGAAAATATCTTGTTCGAGTAGTTCATCAAAAAAAACAAGCTTTGAGACAGAATGATTAATTTTGTAAAAGTTCAATGGAATAACCATGTGGCAAGAGAAGTAATTTGAAAAATGAAAGAATAAGATAAAAGGTAAATCAAGTTTTGAGGACAAAACTTTTTATAGAGGGAGGAGAAAGTAATACCTTAGCCCAAATGACAATTGGATTAGAGTATTACCAAAGCCCATTGGTTTATTTAATGGAATAATTAGCAAAAAAAGAGGGTTGAGATATTTGATGAGAACAACTAGTAGTATTTGTTTAATGTGAAAAAAAAAAAAAGAAATAAAACAAGTTTATCACTTGTTCTTAATAAGGATTCATATTCTTTCTCAAAACTTGGGGTTGGAAGATCAAAGTTAATGATTGGAAATTAAATTCTACCTCTATATTAATCTCTTAAAGATGAGTAAAAACCTTATTTTAATTTGAAAAAGAAATCTTGTTCATTATTGAAATTTTTAGTTAAAGTATATGAGAGAAATCTAAAAATTTCTTATAATCATACATGAATCTCCATGATTAGTTGTATTAAGATTATTAGATTATGTTTTATTGTGATTAATTTTGTAAACGTTCAATGGAACAATCATGTGGCAAAATAAGTAATTTGAAAAATGGAAGAATAAGATATGAAGGTAAATTAAGTTTTGAGGATAAAAAATTTTATGTAGAGAGAAAAATGTAATAACCCAGCCCAAATGACAGTTGGTATTGATACCGATTGATTACATATTATTTTTTGATATTGATAAAAGTGGTTTTAATTTTAATATTTAAAATAATTCCCTTAATTTTATTTATTTTTGCAAAAATATTTTTTAAAACCTATTATTTAGAAATAAGCTGAAAATCTTTAGTTTTGGAATACTTTCTGAATTCCCCAATATTTCTTCACTTGAGAATCTCATAATAATCCTTAAAATATGGTATAATATTGTAATAATCCTTAAACTTCAGTGGTTTGCTAAGGAGTGTCGAGGATTGTGGACATGGAGTCGGGGGAGTAATTACTTTGGTGGTTTGACGGCGGCCACGAGTCGTGCAGTGCTAGGCGTTGGGATGATGTTTCAGTGGTGACAGTGGGTTTCGATGTAAGTTGGTGAGAGCTTGTGGCGGTTGGAATTTTTTGGCCGTGGGTGATCTGGGTAGGAGATTAGGAATTATTTGCAAATTTTCCACCTGCTCTAGAAAATCCTCCCTTTTTCTTGATTTTTTTGGCTCAACTTTATCAACCCATGGAGATCACTGCTAGGACCAGGGAGAAGATGGAGGTGCTGGGTAAGAAGGGGTTGCTTGAGTAGGGTGGCCGTTGGATAGGAGGCTGGCTGACAGGGGTCTACTAGGGTGGCTGGCAGGGATGCCATGCACAACCTAATTTTGGCTTCCGAGCTTTTCTACTTTTGATCATGCGTATTTTATTTTTTGATTTGGATAATTTTTTTTAAATAAAAATAAAAGTAAGTAACAACAAAATAAAACAAAAATAAAAATGGAAAGTAAAATTTGGACATGGCCCTTTCAAACCCAATCAAAGTAATTCTAGGTCTCTAAATCCGAACAATCCAAACTCAGTTGAATTAAACTCTAATCAAACTCAATAAGTCCAAACGAAATACCAACCAGGAAATTCGAATGGATCGGGGTCAAGTACAAAAAGATTGAAATTCGCCTAAATCATCGTGAAACAGCTTTAAAAAAATCCGAACGTTTGCAAATAAGCAATTTTCATTAGTGGAACAATATAAATATTTAAAACACTATCTTAGCTTCCATTAACTCATTTTGACGCTACTAAGCCACAAACATACATAGAAACAAAAAAAGAAGATATAGAACTTTAACATTCCAGCCATGAACATCCACTGGTGTTCATTGAAGAGCAAAGCCATGAAAGCGGCAAGATATATTGCTCGGGATGTGGGAAGCTAAAGTCAAGTCCAAGCTTCAGTTGTATGGACTGCGGGTTTCGCCTTGACAAGCAATGCTTTGAGGCACCTCCTGAGATGAATCACTCATTCCATCACAATCACCACTTTAATCTTCTAGTAAGTGCGACATATCAAGATAGGGCTTTTATTTGTGGTTTCTACAACAAAATGGGTGAGAGGTTTGTTTATCATTGTTCTTGTGGATTAGACTTTCGTATGAAATGTGCTTTGTTTTCATATAACATTGCAGAAAAAAGAATTGCAGAGTTTCAACATATTCCCTGTATAGATCCATTGATCTCTACGGAAAATCGTACTGAGTGCTTTGACTGTTGGAAACCATTACTAGATTTTGTTTACTTTTCTCTTGATTGTGGATTTTACCTACATGCAAAATGTGTTGATCTACCTGCTGAAAGCACTCACCTTTTGCACCATCAACATCCTCCCATTTTAAATTTAACAGTCAGCGTCAATCTTGCAAGATATGCCAAAAGCTTCAGGATACCAAAATCAATAAGCTCCACCATCGTAAACATCCTTTTATTTTACAGATTGTTAATGAAAGTCTTCCTTGCCAAATATGCCAAGTAACCCAACATAATAAAGCTTTGTATTTTTGTTCGATTTGTAAGTTTGTTCTTCACAGTGGGTGTGTTTCACCAACACCAATTATTGAAGATAAAATTCACCATAAACACCCCTCCACCCTACTTCAGAAACAAGTCTCATTAATTTGTGATGCTTGTGGCACTTCATGGAATTATGTTCCTTATATTTGTTCTACATGCAACATTATAATCCATAAGAAATGTATTTCATTGCCACAAGTCATCCAATTCCACCGACATCGCCACCCCATTCTCCAATCCTATTTCCTTGAAGAACATGGATTTGAAAAGTGGGAATGTAGAATGTGTTATGAGGAAGTGAACACAAAGCATGGGAGTTACTTTTGTCCTAAGTGCAATTACATTGTACATGTGAATTGTGCATTACAAGACCTTCTTTTTACCATGTGGTTGATTCCATGGGAACAGATAAAAACGTGGGATTAACATTAGAATATGTGACAGCCACATCGATAAAGCATTTCAGCCATGATCATAACTTGGCATTGAGTAAAGACATTAAGGGTGATAAACAATGTGATGGCTGCCTACTATCCATCTCGGCTTCTTATTACTATTGTTCACAATGTGATTTCTTTCTCCACAAAGCCTGTCAGAATTACCTATGAAGAAGCATTTATGGTATCACTATCACCAAAGGCTTCTTAGACTTACTACAGGCTGCATTTTCCAATGTGCAATTTGTGAATATGAAACTAGTGGTTTTGCCTACACTTGTGATGAATGCCATGAACGTCACTGCCTTCGGTGTGCATTAGTTTCTGATATCCCTAAATGTGAAGGACATGTACACCCCCTCATCTATTATAGAAACTATGAAGGGTTGAGTAATGCATATGGTGATCCTATAATTATTGCATACAGATGCAAGAGTTGCAATTTTAATTTAGATGGAAAATGTCTGAAATTGCCACTTATAGCTCGACACAAATATGATGAACATCCATTGAAGCTCATAAATCATGATAATAACAACTACTCAGAATGTGATTATTGTGACATTTGTGAGAAAGAAAGAAACCCCAATCATTGGCTTTTATCATTGTGCAATTTGTGACAATTCAACTTATCCTAGAGGCGTCCTTGGAAAATACTTATTTATCAAGCTTGGGAGCATTAACACAGAAGAAGACCATCCACACCCTCTCACTTTTGTCAAGAAAGTTCATTATTATCCAGAGTGTCTTGAATGTGGTATGCCCTGCCTTGATCTAGCTCTTGAATGTAAAATGTTCACTTGGAGTGTACAAAACCTGATTCATTTGGAAGAAGAGGCAGAAGAAATAGATAGTGTTGTCCAAGCAAGGATGAGACACAAAAATACTGTTTTTCCTCGTTGTTTCTAAACTATTTGCAATTATCTGTAATAACTTCTGTCATATATTGTTTGGTTATTAGGCTTGATAGAAGTACATATATATAATGATGCTTGTTCGTATACGCTTATTAATGCTAAATTAATTCGGGGCTAGATCTATTTCTTGATATTAATGTCATCTATGAAGTTATGGTTATTACTATGACATGCTATTACTTTTGAAATTCCAGAGGAGCCGTAGCTGAAGCATTTTAACATTATTCCTTGACATGAAAAAGTTTGGCTCCGTTCCCCTCTTGTGAAAATGGAATTTTCAAATATATACAAAAACTATCAAATGTTTGAGACTAGTGAAAGTCTTATTATAGTTGCTTGACTAGTGATTGAATTTGTTGATTTTATCATGTTCACTTCATACAAACAGAAGCGGCAGCAAAAGAAGCTAGGGCTCTTGACAGAGCTGAAATGTGAGTTCAGTTGTCCATATCTCCCATTCTTGTGTGTTTTTCAGGAGTGGAATGCAGCTGACAATTCAGCCTTAGAATCCACTCAAGTCAACAAAGCAACTGGTTTTGCCCCAAAGATGGTGGAGGACTACAACAGAATATGTTTTGGAAATTTATCATGGGATAGCGTAAGAAGGTTTAATATTTGTATTCATTACTTAATTGGCCTAATGATCTAATAGTTTAATCTTAATACTTCAAAGAAATACCAAAATATGAAAATTACTTGGATATAGTAGTAGTCTAAATTTAATAATTGACCATTTGAATAGTAGATAGTACAATGAAAAATGAAGATGACATATTGCTTGTTGTCTGTTGATATGGCATGACTTGGTTCGCTTAGTTTTAACTTTTATGTTATAAGTTATAATATTTGATTTTAAGTTTTAATTTATGTCAATCAATATAAGTATGATTGTATAAGTAAAAATCATACTATATGATCTTTTTAAATTTTGTTAAAAAAAAAAAAAAACCTTCCTAGCTTAGCATAACTTGTAGAGGAAATGAGCATCTTTAATGTTACTTTTGAAAAATGAAAAAGAAAACAATTAAAAATTAAAAAGAAATGCTCTCATGTTATTATTTATTTATTTATTTATTTTTGGTCAATCTTTCATGCTTTACACTATGTTTGGATTGAGGAGAGAGAAAGGAAAGGAAAGGAAAATAAAAGGAAGTAATGAAAATAGAAAAACAAAATTTTGTTTGAATAAACTTTTAATTTTAAAAAAAGGAAAAAAGTGAAAACTTAATAACTTTTTATTTCCCTTGTAATCCTCACTTTTTTAATACATCAATTTAAAGGAAAAACTAAAAAAAAGAAAAGTTAAAAAAATGTATTTTTATAAAAAGATTATTATATCTATATTTTTATTATGATATTGATTTGATTATATAACCGACACTTCTTATAAAAATAATTTTTTATAAGTATTTTATATAACATCAAAATTTATAAATATTTTATAATTTTTTAAGTCTTAACAACAATAAAAGTTAAATTATTGTCAGAATAAATTAAAAAGCTTAATTAAACACAAATTTAAGAGTAAATCAATAACTAACTAATATATCTTACCTTGTTCAATTTTGTTTAAAAAGATTTATTTATACAAACTAGGTAGTATAAAAATATATTTGTATATTATATGTTACTTTATAAAAAAAAAGGTTATAATTGAAAAAAAATAGTATAATAAATTATTTCATTTCCTTTTCATTATTTATCCAAACAATAGTCATTAAAATTATTTTTCTTTCTTTTCTTTTATTAATTTTGACTATCCAATACGTACTTTTAAAAAAAAATTTATTTTCTTTTATTTCCTTTCTTTTATTAATATATATACAAACATAACGTTAGTGTTTGTAAATTTATTTTTTTCCTGTTCACTATCTCTTTTATCCTTTAAAAGAAAAGGATAGGTTTAAAAAAGAGTCATATTAATTATTTTTAATCAGATAGGCTAACTTGGAAGGATGATTCCTTTGGTGGATAACACGCTATTGATTGCTTACTAAAGTAATGGTTTATCACAAGATAAACTTGAGGACAATAAAGTAAAGTTGATCTTCCTCTTGTTTTTCTTTAATTTTCTTTTGTATCTTTTTTACAATTTTACATTTTTACATTTTTTATTTTTTTATTTTTCTCTTTTACCTTTTTTTTCATTTCAAGATGACCTATCTACAATTCAACCAAACACCGTGATGTAAATTATATTATTTTTTATAAAGGATATCATAATTTAAGATAAAAAAATTATAATTGTTGAAATTTAAATTTTAAATTTATTAAATGTCATTTATTAAAAATAATTATATTAATTAATTAAAATAAATCTCAATTCATAAATTACATTGCAGCATTCATATTTATTATTCACAAAATAATATTCAATATATGATAAGGATGTACTGTCCTTGTATGAATAAATCTTGGGGTTTCTAATAATTATTTTTTAGTACTCTGTAGTATAAAGTTCATAGATATAGAATGTGATTTGTGAATAAATTCTTGGGGTTGCTTTTCGAAATATATTTCTAAAATAATGCATTGTGAATTGTGACTAACCTCCCAAAATAATAAATCTATGGCATTAATTATTACTTATTAATTTGGCACCTAATTAAATACAATATGTGGATTACTCTCAACTTGTTTAAAATATAGTCAGAAGGGAAAACAGTGAGGTAAAATAGGAAATATTGTGGCATATAAATTTGATAATTTATGTATTTATATTGTATAAAATATTAATAATTGTATATTTATATTGTATTTTACATTAAAATTATATGTTATAATCGTGTCAACACGCAAAACATAAAATAATTTTTATTTTTGTTAAATTTATTTATAATTTTTGTTAAAATTTTAAAATATATTAATATCATATTTATTTTATATCGTTTTCGTATTATATCATCATATTATATTTTAAATTGATACAAATAATAGAATTTGAAAAAAAAAAAAACTTATGAATAAAGATCACAAGAGAGTAAAGCCATTGAGAAACATATCTCACATTAAAAATTAGAGTACTGTTACTTTTAAGAAAGAAAAGGAAAAAAAAAAAGAAAATTAGAGTACTGTTATTTTAAGAGAGAAAAGGAAAAGGAAAAGAAAAAGAAGAAAGAGGGGGGGGGGGGGTAAAGAAGTTCTATGATCAATTTGTCAGTTTTGGTCTAGTGAACTTTATATATTTGAACCGTAGGCTTAGACTTCCCACAAAAAGCATATATCTCACTACTCACAAACTGATATAGAAACGAAAAGAAAGGAGTGATGGAACTTCAACATTTCAGTCACAAACATCCGTTGATTTTCAACGAAGAGCGAAGCCATGAAAGTGATGATAATGCTTTTTGCTCTGGGTGTGGGGCGGCGGTGTCAGGTCCATGCTTCAGCTGTGTGGAGTGCGGGTTTTACCTTGACAACAAATGTGCCAAGGCACCCATTGAAATGAATCACCCCTTTCATTGCAACCACAGCCTTAATCTTCTTGAAAGCTCGCCATATGGTGAAGGTGCGTGTACTTGCAATTTCTGTGACAAATATTGTGAGAACTTTGTTTATCATTGTTCTTGTAATTTAGACCTCCACATCAAATGTGCTTTGTTTTTGTATGATGTTGCTGAAAAAAAAATTGGAGATCAACTTCAATGGATTGAAAATAAAGACCCATCCATCTCCACTGAAAATCATTCTGAAGAGCTCAAAGAAGCTGAGTGCTTTGTCTGTTGGAAGCCTTTATTAGGTTCTGCATACCTTTCTCTTGATTCTGGATTTTTCCTACATAAAAAATGTGCTGAGCTACCTCTTGAAATCAATCATCTTTGCCACCGCCAACATTCTCTTTTTTTACAATTTAATCTTCTCCCTTGCAAGATATGCGAAGAAACCCAACGCAGGGGATTGTCTTATTATTGCCCAATTTGCAAGTTTGTCCTTCACATTGAATGTGTGTCACCACCACCTACCATTGAAGATACAAGTAGTCATGAACATTCATTCACGAGGTTGTTGTTAAGAATATCCTCCTTCACTTGTGACGCATGTGGCACTTCAGGAAAACATGTTTCTTATGTTTGCTCGACATGTAGCCTAATAGTCCATAAGAAATGCACTTCATTGCCACGTATCATCAAAAGCATATTGCATCAGCATCTTGTTTTCTACAAATACTTCGTTGTAGACAGTGAATGTGGAGCACTGGAATGTGTGATTTGTCATGAGGAGGTGAATAAAGAGTGTGGGAATTATTATTGTGCTGACTGCAAGTTTATTCTCCATGTGAATTGTGCACTACAAGATCCTCGGTGGTATTACAAAGTTGAGTCAAGAGATGCTTTTGAGAAGCTTAATAAAAATGGAGCTGATACTATGGATCCAAGCTTTTTTGTTATTAAAGAGATCAGACATGGAGAAAATGTGATAAATACAGAGATAAAACATTTCAGCCATCAGCACAATTTGATACTGCATGATGAAGTAAAGGATCATAAGTGTTGTGACGGTTGCAGTCAATTGATCGAGACTTCTTTCTATGGTTGTTTACAATGTGATTTCTTTCTCCACAAGCCATGTGCTCAGTTACCTAGGAAGAAGCAAATCTGGGGTCACTTCCATCAATATCCCCTTGACCTTATTTCAGATTGCGTTTTCCTATGTGCGATTTGTTCTTTCGGATGTAGTGGTTTCTCCTACAAATGCGAAATTTGCGACGATCTTTACTGCGTTCGATGTGCTGGACGTTCCTCGGCCTGCACAAGTCAAGGACACAAGCACCCTCTTCTCTTTTACCTCAAGTATGATGGGCAGTGTAATGTTTGTGGTGGCAGTATTCATGATCTCTCAATATTCAGATGCAAGGGATGCGATTTTAATGTGCATTATCAATGTCTTCTCCTTCCACAAACAGCTCGTCACAAATGTGATGAACATTTTCTCACTCTCACAAACCATGAAGATAATGATTATTCAGAATATCATTACTGTGATATTTGTGAAGAAAAAAGAAGCCCCAGCAATTGGTTTTATTATTGTGCAATTTGTGACAAATCAGCTCATCCTAAATGTGTTCTTGGAGATCACCCATTTGTCAAGCGTGGGAGCAGCATCTTCATAGAGAGCGAGCATCCACACTCTCTCGTGTTCGTGCAAAAGGTTTATCCTTATCCTGAATGCTGTAAATGTGGTCAGCCCTGCTTAGGTCTGGCTCTAGAGTGTGCAGAGACAAGATGCAACTATATTGTCCATTGTACATGTGGATATCCCTTCCCTCGAGAGCCATTCCAAATACAGTTCTAGTGATAGCCACGATCAGACACAGAGGTTGCTGATGATCACAACCAAAATGCGACGGTTCATACTTCTTCATAAAAAATATCTGCTTTCCTTGTTTTATCCTTTGAAAATTTCCAAAATGCTTCAATAAATTCACTTTGAAAGGCTTCGCTGTGATCTTAATCATGTGATTTGCAAATTTTTTCATTGCATTTGTATAAACATTGTCTTGTATCCTTTGTGACTTCTTGATTTTTGAGTAAAGCAATCGATCGATTTGCAATCATCACTTGAAATTTGATTAGAAGATTATATTTTTCTGAATATGCTATCTAGCTAGGCTATATTTTGCACATAAACTTGTCTAATTTGAAGGTAAAATCGTATGAATAAATCAGTCCCATTATTGCTTATAGCCAGAGAAAAAAAAATATATATATATATATATATATTGCTTAAAACTTCTCTCTCTCTCTCTCTCTCTCTCTCTCTCTCTCTCTCTCTCTCTCTATATATATATATATATATATATATATTTTTTTTTTTTCTAATTGACAATTTGTAATTTTCAATATTAGTAAAGGTAGTCAATGTTAAACTCTATTACAGGCTATCAAAGATTAAACTCTAATTATGGGAATTAAAAATCTAATCTTTTATTAACAAAAAATATAATTGTTGATAATGAAAAAAAACAAATACGTGGCTCAATTCATAGCATAAAAAGAGTTGATTTTTTTTTTACGTAAATAAAGTTAGAAATTACAATCGCAAAAGAATTATTATATCCTTACCAATAAAAATTATCGCATTTCATAAAAAAATCAATTAAAATAAAATGAAGAAAAAATCAATTAACGACCTATCCTATAGATAGTAATCGAGCAAATTTAATACAAAATTAAATCAATTTCAAATATAGTATGATTTGAATTTATGATGTAAAGATTCTAAATTTATTCTTTGTCATAGAAACAAAGTCTTGTTAGCATTGCCAACTAAGAGGTAACCAAAAACCCAAAAGATCTTATAAAATCAAGGGTCTTTTACAGAACCAAAAACTTGATTTGAATACTTTTATTTGGACTTGATCTTGACAATCAAGAGTCATGCTACTATGTGAACTCACACAATTTTACTTATTTATGTCGTAATTGTAGAGTTTCATATCACAATTTTATGTCTCAAACCAAACAAAATTGTTACAAGTAAACTCTGAAAATAGAAATGACAGCATCTTCTATTGTGTCACAACCAATAAGGTTTTGACATTGTTGTTCTAAAGTGAAGCAAGGAGAGATTTTAAGACAAATGATGTCTTTAGGAAGACAAGTAATGGAATCTCTTCTTTGATTTCTTCGCCACCCCAATTCCTGTTAGAAAGTTGAAGTAATTACCTTACTAGGCTTCAAAGAGATTAGAGATAAGGAAAAGAGAAAGGAAATTGATACTATTTTGAGAAATAAAGGAGCAAGAAAGAGAAAAAGAATGTCCGAACAGGAAAAACAAAAGAAAAAGAAAAAGCATAATGTAGGAAAAGCAAAAGAAAATGCGTAATAGGTAATATTATATATATGTGAACTTATTTCATATTCAGTGATAGTGAGATTTTGGATTTTATAAGCGAAATTGACATGATGTCATACACTTTTTATGATATAATAAAAATATTTAAAAAATTGAAATATGTTGTAGTCTCTTAATTTTGCTAGTTAATTAAAAATTTTTACTATTAGTATATAAAAATAAATAAATTGATGAAACCAAACCCTAAATTCTAAGAAAAAAAATGATAATTTGAGCATCTTAACTTTACTCTTAAAAAGTAAAAGAAAAAAAAGCTCTCATATTCGTTACTTTCTCTTTAATGATCACAAGGTAGGTACTTAAAGAAAAAAGTCATATTCTTTGGCAATACAAGGATGATTCCTATGGATAGGATAGATAACAAGCAATTGATTGTAGATCTGAAGAGATTAATAAAATAAAATTCTTTTCTTCTTCTTCTCTTTATTTTTTAATTATTTTTAATTTTTCCCTTTTTCCTTTTATCTATTTTTAACTTCAAGGTGATCTATCCACTCTTTCCTTGTCTAAGGGAAATATAATTGTGAGATTAGTCATGTTTTTATATACTAAAATGTAAACTATTTGGAATTTCAATTAAGGCCAAATGGTAATATTTATTTTAATTGAGACATGGAAAATTGTTGTAGGTGGCTTCAAAAATTCTAGCCAACCTTTTGTAACTTAAAAGATAGCTGGCTAAGAGAAAATAGAGTTTTAGCGACCACAATTTGCAACGAATGAAAATGTTATTGCAAGATACTATTATATTAATTAAAAATTTTCAAAGTTGCTATTTAGTTGAAGGTTTTTAGTGTTTATACAATTACAACTTTCATCGTTACAAGTTCTTATCACATTTGTAACGACTAATTTTCATTGTGAAGTTTTATAGCACCATTCTCTAGTAGAAGAGTTTATAGATGTAATTTCCTAAGTTTCATACTAATATTTTGATTTATTTAATTTTGTTATGGAAATTAATTTGTAAAAATGGAAAAGAATTTGTAAATCTCATTCCAAGGTAGCTAGATCCTTACAATTCGCTGACATTTTTTTTTTTAAAACAAGAATGCTTATTTACTATAGTTGGAAATTAAGTAGCTTCAATTACACTAAAACAACATTTCTCAATTCAAGTGAGTTTCTTTTATTATTTGCTTATTTTAAATATTTTCAAAATAAAAAACTCGTATCCATTAGATGAGAATTTGCTAAAGAACCAAACATATATATAGGGAGACTTGTTCTTTGAAAAAATGAAAATCATATTGTCTAGTGATTTTCATCATGACCTTGAAAATGATATCAATTGTTATCAGTAAGAAAGGGATAAAAAAAACCATGCCATATCATGGATTTATTTAACTTGGTAACTAGAAACTAACTAGCAAAATTCGCAAGCAAGTAAATTTCATTGCAAGAGTAGAACCTAGCAATCGACAATATGGTTTTTTTTTTCTTTAGTTGGAAATTAAAAAGCTGCAGTTAAAAAGAAAATAAAGGCATTTCTTAATTCAAATGCAGATCATTGATTATTTCTTATTTCAGATAATTTTCTAAAACTTGTTTCCATTATTTAATTAAACTAATCTAAGATTTTTGAAAGCAAATCTAAGCTTATTTTGTATGTTTTTATTCACCTTTTATGGTAGGAAGATTTTTTTTAAAATTATAAAAGAAAAAAGAAAAAAGAAAGAAAGAAAAGGAAGAAAGAAGAGATAAAAAAGAAAAGAAGAAGATTAAAAATTGAATTTTACTTTATTCTCTTCAAGTTTTCTTGTGCTTAGAGCAATAAATACTGTTATCCTTTCCATAAGAATCATTCCAAGATTTTGTCATCAAGAGAAAGTAATGAATATGTGAGAATTGAGAAAAAGAAAAGAAAAGAGAGGTAAAAATTCCTTATTTCAATAATATCATCACAGTTTTGAAGATTGTTAAATTAATTTTAAGAATTTTAAAATCAAGAGAGATGTCACTAATTTTTTTTTTTTGTTAAATGTGATTGGCTACGTAAAATACTTATCATTTTAATAAAATTTTAAAATTAATTAAACCTTATTAAAAAGACAAATTTTCATTTGATCTGTAAAAATAAATTTGAATTAAAGAGTACGATTATGCGTAAAAAAATATTATCACCTCTACAATGCTTGTTTTAAAAACAATATCAATTGATCACATATTATCTTTTAGTGTTGATGAAAGTGGTTTTAATTTTAGTATTTAAAATAATTTCCTTAACTTTACTTATTTTTGAAAAAATTTTAACCTGTTATTAAGGAATTGGATGCAAATTTTTAGTTTCGAAATACTTTCTGAATTTCTCAATATACAAAATTTTAAAAAATATTTCTCTACTTGAGATTTTCATAATAATTCTTAAAATCTGACATAATATTTTTTTATAAAAAATAATTATTGAAAAATCTTTTAATATTTAAGTAAGGTCTCGAAAATTATTTTTACTTAAAAACATTAGTTTTTATTTCTTAAAGTCCTTCTTTTTAATTTTTTTAAAATTTATTTTACCACTTCAATTTTATTATTAACTAACACCATGCATATTCATGCAATATAAAATAGATTATACAAATAAAAAATTTAAAATCACACACTTAAAATAATTCATTTCATTTCATTCTTTTCAAATTTTTATATATTTTTTATTATTTCTCTAGTGAAATATTTTTAAAAAAAATCTTTAGTGATAAAAAATTTTCTTAATTCCCTAATATCTAAATGAAATTTAAGAAAATTGATCATTTACTTAAGAAATTCAAATAAATATTTTTGACAAATTGGATAACATTCTTTTGTAAAAATAATTATTTTGAATTTCTTCCAATATCTTAGTAAGGTCTTCAAAATTATATTCTCACATAAAAATATTATTCTATTTTTATTCTTAAAACCCTCTTTTAAAAATCATTTTTGAATCACAAAATTTTTATGCCTCATTTTTTATTCAAATCATATTTTACTTCATCATGCATTCGCAAGCAAACTACTACTACTACTACTATTATTATTATTATTATTATTATTATTATTATTATTATTATTATTCACAAATCCTAAAATAATATTAACAAGTAGAAAAAAAGATTAAGGGCTCATGAAGATAAATAAACAAAAGAGCCAAGAAATATACCTAAATTAAGCTTTTGGATTAGAATCCAATATGAACTAAGTTATGGACCAAGTATTTGGGCCAATCATTGTGGATCAACTAGCAATCGATGAGGCCAAGTGGATTTGGAATGGGTAGTGGGTCCAGGATGACTGGTCAAGTCGAGTCTTTTCTTTCCTTTTTTCTTTTTTTCTTTTGTCTTTCTATATTTTTTTCTATATCATTTCCTTTCTCTGTTTTAAAAAAAAAAATGCTCCTTCACAAAAACACCGAAACGCCTGTTCCCAAACCCAAACTCCAGCGAACCTGCAGCCGCGCCACC